AAAATTGATTTATCAATTGTATTTATGACGATGTGCGTATAGTTGAAAGCCTTTGACTTTTGATTTGTTCGCTCTGATGATGGGTTTATGCAAGTTATTTAAAAGTAAAGACCAGTTTTGGAAATGCCCCCCTCTCAAAAAATGAAATGGAAGCTGTTATTACCAAACATGTGAAAGATTATGTTTTGACTAATACATGATTAAACAAATTTTGCCGAGAAACTGCCTACTAATTGATATATTTGGTAAATTATTATATCTATTTGGACCTGATATAACGCACGTGTCGCGCACGTATGGGTAGTCCCATCTATATACATCTTCCTGTGTACAGTGCATGCTTGTAACTTTACCAAGACTGGGCCAGATTTCTTATCATTTTGATGATATGCTAGATGATCAACCTTTTCTGATTGATTCCACAACGTTTCTTTCACTATGCGATCGCATGACCATAATCAATCTTTTTCTTTAAGGTAAATGTTTTGTAATCATCTCTTGCTTGTTATCTTGGAGCCACCGTCTTTCCATATATCTCCTTTGTCTTGTCTTGTCTTCTTTCCTCTTCTCTTCTCTTCTCTTCTCTTCTCTTTTGTTATCTCTCACTATTTATTCTGATCTTCTCTCGTTTCCCTTTCTATCTTCATCTCTCTGTCTCTAGCTGTCTCTGTCTCTGTGTGTCTGTCTGTCTGTCTGTCTGTCTGTCTCTCTCTGTCTCTGTCTGTCTGTCTGTCTGTTTCTCTCTCTCTCTCTCTTTCTGTATCTCTCTTTCTTTCTCTCTGTTTGCAATGCATGCTTGATGCATAGAATAAAATAACATAGAACCAGGTAGATGCAATTTTTATGTATCATGTACGTATATTGGAGTGCCTACATGTAGATGGCTGATACTTTTCAATTCAATTCAATGAAATTCATTATTTCGTAACAAATCACATACATGATATTTACATTGAGAAGTGTACTGGATCATTAGCACTCAATAAAGTCGAAGGCTTGAGGGAAGTGGATGCATGGACCCATAACATAAGTGTCAAATGTGGAAAATAAAAAACATTAAAAATTTCACAATATACAAAATACTAGACATAAAACAAGACTTTACAAACTAAAACACAATAATGATACAGAACAACATAATCTGAATGATAATTGTATGCATCAGAGAAGTCATTTATATGTGACAAGAAGACGCAACTTGAATTTCGAATTGATAGAATTTAGAGTTTTTATCTTGTGTTGACATTATGTTTATTGCTATTGCGATTGATTTAATGGTATATATCATGAGTGGTCACATTTTAAATTGATTATTCAATATTGTTTCATAATTTACCTCCTTTTCGTTGTATAGGATTTACCTTTCGTAATTTTAAGCATGAATATGGCACAAAAATATCGTGTTTTTGTCTTGTGTTAACATTTCTTGCTATTGCGATTGTTTTAATTGTCATATCATGAGCAGTATACACCTACAGAGTTTTAAAGATTATGTATCATACATGTATCTTATAGCTGGCCCAGTGAATGCCTACCCGGTATATAGAAGGCTAATACTTTGGCTATAGAAGACATTAATTGTTATCATTATTATGAAAGCTACGCCCAGTAAGGTCGTCTGATGGCGTGACTTTTATTTTCTTCCAAATCCTCCTCCTGGACCTGATTGTTCTCTTCCTTCTTCACTTTCAGGGATGAGTTTTCCTATTAAACAGAAATCAAAATCAGTAAATGTTGTGAGAAGAATTATATATACCTGGTATATATATATATATATATATATATATATATGTATATATATATATGTATATCTCACCTTGTATAATAAGAAATGGAGGTGCACTCATTTTCATTTTCTTTTGATATTACAGAAGGTGGTAATAAAATGAATACATTGCAAAGTTGTGTACGTAGCATGGCCGGAGGTCCAACCATTAAGGGGGACCTGGAACCCTGTACCTTGTAAAAAATAATCCCGATGGCAGCTTATCGTACAGCTAAACTGTATGGGGGGGGGGGGGAGGGCACACTGGTCTTACATGGAAATTGAAATATATATTTATGACTTTACTGATTAGGGGGAGTGTGCTGGTCTAGGCATCTTCATTTCTCATCCATTTCTGCTTTAAATTGCCCCTTCTTTCTTTTCTAGCATTATTATTTTTTTTTCACCACTCAATTGGGAGGGATGTGCCCATTTCACCTGGCTTCCCCTTGTAGCTACATTGCATGCAGCTGATATTGAGATAAATGAGTAAATGTGATCTTACCTCAGGCACGTCTGTGGTTTCTCTCTTGAGTCCTGCATCACCACGACGACGGCGACGGCGACGACGACTTTCCTGACCCTCTAGAAAGTGAAGTACCGATGAAGTAAAAGAGATTATACAAATCATGAAGAATCAATAACAACTGGGCTTGACCCACGTAAGCCACATTATTAATACTGCTCTTCCTATTATTATTATCCCATCATTGACACGTACCCATTTGTATGTGGGCCAAACATCTTGTCCTGAGACGTAAGCACCGACTGAGCAAGAATATGTGTATGAAAATCCTTCTTTGTATGTTCCAGTATGATTATATATCCCCATGTTTTGTTCATTTATGCCTTGGTCTTGGCCTTGTGGTTTCAAGTCTTGGCCTTGAGGGTTTGGGCCCCAAGTTCAACACTGGTTGAAACCTTTTGCTTTTACTTTTGTTACAAGGATACTTCGAATGAAAGCATATTAGGAAAAGAAGGCCAAGAAACTCCTGCCTAAGGATGATCTTTGAAGACATGTATGTAAATTGAAGATTATATTAAAAGTCCAAGATTTTGGTAATTCTCAGTGGATTTGATGACTGTATCTAAATAACAATAATTAGAAATGTTTTGAATGATTAAAATCTTACCTGCTCCATCCAGAACATTAGCCACAAGAATCATAGAAATGATCAAGATTACAAGAACACGCTGCATCTTGCCTGATGAATGATGACGGAAGTTTCACAGCAATTTAGAATTCTTTGAGTAAGAAGTGAACCTGATACCATCAAGTTTGAGAGACTGAGGTAGTTGTGCGCAGCTTGCAAAGGGTGTAACAGATATATAGAGCTAATTTCTTTTAATTTTAATTTTTATAAAAAGTCCAAAACAGCCAATTGTATTCCAGGTCGCACTACAGTGTAACAAGCATTGTGGGCCAAACTATTCGTGTCAATGGTCAATGCTATTCATTTTCTTTGCCTTAAATTTATGAAGAAATAACTGCATGAGAGAACAATCATAAGAGTAAGGTCAGGTTTTAAGGCTTGTTCATCCTGCAGAAATTTGATTTGTTAATTGTATCTATGGCTACAGGCATAGTAGTTAAAGCCTTTGACCTTTGATTAGTTTGCTTTGATGAGCCTCAAAGCAAGGATATCTCTATACTAGCCAGCTTTGTGTGATGCAGTGAATTACCAAATCAAAAACCAAATCAAACACACAATACTCTACATGTTCAGACACTAGGGTCAGACACTGGCATACTGGCCCCTGGATGCTGTCTGACCGTAATTGAATGCCTAAAACCCCTGGGCTTCTCGGGGCTCCGCACCCCTCACCTCATGTCAATTAGTGTCCTGCCATGCAGTGTCACAAATAAGGTATCAAAATATGCTCATCTGATTGTAATTAAATACCTAAAACCCATGAGCTTCCGGGGGCTCTGCTCCCTCGACCCAACTAGGTGGCCTAAGGCGGGCCCCTGAGTGCTTATCTCTCTATACTAGCCAGCTTTGTGTGATGCAGTGAATTACCAAATCAAAAACCAAATCAAACACACAATACTCTACATGTTCAGACACTAGGGTCAGACATTGGCATACTGGCCCCTGGATGCTATCTGACCATTATAAAATGCCTCGAATCCCTGAGTTTCAGCGGCCTCAGCCCCCTGGACCCCACGCCAATTAGTGACCTGCCAGAGTCATGAATAAGATATCAAATATGCTAATCTGACCGTAATATGCCCAAACCCCCTGAGCTTCCAGGGGCTTTGCCCCCCGACCCCACGCCAACTTACGCTACACTCTATCTGGTCATAAATACTTTAGCCTCCTGGGGGTGATGCCCCCCTCAAACGTTTTTGCTCATTACGCCACTGCATGTGTTCAGATATGACGCGGCAAAACTGCAGTGATTACCAAAAAAAATGATGACATCGAGTGTAATATGCATCACATCTCCATATCTCATAATACAAGATTGAAGGGAATCTGCACAAGTCCTTTGTTGCGCACATGTTACCATTTATTTACACCTAGTAAAAACAACTGCCATACATTAATTTTACCGCTTCTTATCTGAACGACTGGAAGGGGCATTTGTTTAATATGCATAGATACTCTTTTCTCACCCCTCACTTTACATTTATTTATACATGAAATAGATTTAAGCGTACCAATTACCAGAAAAAATAATTTGTGTATATATCTAGAATACATAAATCAAACTCCAAAAAACATCACCTGCCACTCTATAAGTAAACAGTAAAGGAATATGAAGAAAATGCAGGGTAACTCCATCTCACCTGTCTATTGTAGCCACCGATGTTGCTTCTCCTTTAATGGGAAGAAATGTGTGTTGTATGACCTGTATAGAAAGGTCACCTGTCTACAGGGGCCAGCTTTCTTGTTTCCATTCATCAGGTGGCCTTTATATACAGGTTTGAATGCATCTCTTTCCAAACATTGTTTTAGCAGATCAATAGGAAGAATAGGTGTTTTATGACCTGTATAGAAAGGCCACCTGTGTAGTAGCCGGTTTTCCTGTTTCCATTCATCAGGGGGCCTTTATATACAGGTTCGACTGTATCTCTTTCCAAACATTGTTTTTGCAGATCAATAGGACGAATAGGTGTTGTAGGGTCTATGACCTGTATAGAAAGGCCACATGTGTAGTACGGTAGCCAGTTTTCCTGTTTCCATTCATCAGGTTCAACTGTATCTCTTTCCAAACATTGTTTTTGCAGATCAATTGTGTAGCTTTCTCCCGGGATCTGGAGATGATGGTGACTGGATCAGATGATAGTAGGGTGCGCGTCTGGAACAGACCTAAAAACATCCTGGTTTGCAGATTTTTCGGGCACACAGGTAAAACAGAGGGATATAAAAGGGTCCAAGGGTTATATTCTTTAAAGCCACACTGTACTAGTTTGGCCAGGAGGGATTAGACCTCCCTGCATGGTCACTGACAGGTGGTTATCTCATCAAACAAGCTCTCAATTAACATAAGAAAAAGGGGATCATGCATGGGGGAACAATGATCACCAATTAGGCATTGTTTGCTATATAGAGGGCGCAAGTAGCTATAAGTAGTGCAGTGGGGCTTTAAACGATGTTATCTCTTATGTTACAAACAAAAATCAAAATCAGGACAAGTTAATATCTGGCTGCGTTCTTGTAGTGAAAAAAGACTTCTTCTTCAAGCACCAGATATAAATGTTACCGGTAGTCCCTGCAATTTAAGTTTGTTTTGAGACTGAATAACATTGTTTTCTCTAACAGAAAAAATAACATTATTTTCCTGTCACAGCCCCAGATATATCACAGCTTATGATTAAGTTAACCGACATATACAGTAATTCATAGAGTCATATCAAAGCGTATTAGCTTAGGGTTTTTTTTTATGTACATGTGTTATTTCTTTTTTATTTGGACTCCTTCCTGTTTTCTTATTGATTTATCCACCAAAGCAGAACTATTCTTTGATATCTTTTTGATACATGTATCATACCTGTACACTGCCAAGTCAGGGACTTCCTAAAATCATTCTGTAACATAAAATTCTGAAAACTGTTCCAAAGAAAAAGCACTGAATTCACATCGCAAAAGTTTAGAAAACGATTTCACTGTGTGATCAATCACTGTCAAAGCATATGCCACACACCAATTTGTAAACGGAATACACCCCTGTACTCCAGGTTTGCTATTAATACTATTATCATTAGTAGTAGTAGCAGTAGTAGTAGTAGTAGTAGTAGTATAAGTATTGAATTATTATTATTATTATCATTATTATTAATATTATTATCATTGAAAATATTATTATTATTATTATTATTATTATTATTAATATATGTAATATTATTATTATTATTAATATTATTATCATTAATGATAATTATTGTTATTATTATTAATGTTATCATTATTAGTAATATTATTATCTTTAATATTATTATCATTGATAGTATTATCATTACCGGTATCTTTATCATTATCTTTATCATTATCTTTATCATTAATATTACCATAATTATTATTGTAATCATCGGTATAAGTATTTTTAATCAAAACCCATTCACAGGTGCAATAAAAGGAGTAGCAGTGTCTCCTGATAGTTGCTTCATTGCTAGCGCTTCTTACGACCGAACAGTTATCGTGTGGAGAACAAGAAATTCAGAAATCATCTACAAACTCACAGGTAGGTCAGACCTATACTTTGGTGATGAATTTAATACATAGACAATTTTCTGAGACTTGAAGTAAGAACAATTTTCAAGTGCTTGTACCTATTGAACCATGCCTTCTTTAGCAGAATTTTAATTCATAAAAGGAGAAAAATAGAGCCCTTTATTATGATTCCAAAACGTGTATATTATTATTACATGTATATTCAGTTTCAGTCCTTTTGGTTCTCTTTCTCATTTGTTTTATTTAAAGGCCCACTGCACTACTGGTAGCTACTTGCGCCCTCTATATAACAAACCATGCCTAATCGGTGACCATTGGTCCCCCATGATCCTCTTTTTCTTATGTTAACTGAGAGCTGAGTTGATAAGATAACCACCTGTCCAGTGACCTTGCAGGGCACTCTAATCCCTCCTGTAAACTACGGCAGATAAGCTTTAAAGTCAAACTAGGAATAGAGCTTATGGAAAATCTCTTATTTCACCTAAAAATATAGTCTGATAACGTGTAGCTTGACAAATTCAATAGGAAAAATAATTTCTTTTCAGTGACACCCAGTTAAGTGAGTTAACCATGAACTTTCAGCCCTTAATATCTTAATAGAACTGTTTTCTATAACAACTGGATAGAATATTGTGTTGGAGGAAAGTATTCAAAACAGAGGTTTTATCCTTGCTTGTTGGACTGCATCAGTGCTCTAGTAACCTTTGGTAACTAAAGCCATTAATACCCAATTAGATAGCTTAGTGAAATATGGTGGCACAAACAGAAGTGTCTGGAGTGCAAAATGCATTTTTTTTAATTGAAAGCAGTTGTGACACAGAGAAAGAACCACATCGTACTTAAGATATGGAGCCGATAGAGGTATTTAGCGTCTCAATGAGGGTTAATGCTAGCTAAACTTTCATTCAGATATCACAGAAAAAGAACTTTTGAATTAACAAACTTCACTCTGTTGCGTTTCGGACGTGTCTTTGTGCTAAGCATTTCCATAAACTACCCTTATTCCAATTATACACGTAGGCCATAGATCCAAATTGAAGGGTCCTTCACACCTCAGCAAATATAAGGATTCAACATTTAGTTTTGAACTGTGATCAGAATGGCACACTGTTTTCGTGCATAGTCAAATTAATCTCAAGGATTAGTCATATTCAGATCATAGTTCAGATTGCTATTGTAAATGTCCATGATCTTTTTTAAAAGTTACAACTAAGGTTTGAATTACAATTATTGTGTGTGAATGGGCTCAATAAAAGCATTTGAAATCCCAAAAGGTGGTTAAATAAAGCATTAAAGTCCACAAAATCAAATAACGAAGGGGTTTTTTAATAGTAAATTAGTGACCTCTGGTTTCTAAAATATGGATACATGTTTTCATCTGAAATTAGTCTTGAAATGTAACAGTAATTCATAATACAGATGGTCTGGTAAGAGTAAGAGCATGCATTCCGGATCAAAACATTAAAATTAAATGTCAATAAAAAGCTCACTATCAGCTGCTATGGGTTTGGTAACTCCCTCGCTTCCTATACCTTTTAAATTCACACCTACTATATTGTGTTACTCAGTACAGGAACCTATTCACATACAAGCTATGATTTATCATTTAGGCTCCTCACATTTTACATTGTTTTACCTTGCCTGTCATATCTATATATTTTTAAACATCGTACCTATTTTCCGTACATTATACTTGATTTGAAATCTTTGATTTTTCCTGGTGTAATCTACGCTTATATACGCTTGTATTAAAAAAAAAAAAATGTAAATTGTTTTTTGAAGTAAATGTGGAACAAATAAACTTCAACTTCAACTTCTTGTGCTTCAATTTCTCCTGCATGCAGGCCATTCAAGGGCTGTTGAGACGGTGGGGTTTTCTAACGATGGCAAGCTGCTTTGCTCAGGATCCTGGGATTCCACTGCTATCGTGTGGAACCTAGAGGTAGGTAGGTCCGCTGCTAGGGCAGTAAATGCTCTGGCAGCAATTGCTTCACCCGCAATTCCCTACAAAAAATAATTGATAATTGATGAGTCTGCTAGCTTCTTCACTCAGGGGTTGCCTGCATGCACATCAGTATTCATAATGCTCTTTCGACGGGCCCTGTCTGCAATAATTATTAACCGAGCAATTGGTAGGCATCAATAAATCTTGCCAATAGACGATAGTGTCAGGCTGGGATTTGAACCCTCATGCCTTAGATTGAGGGTCAAGTGAATGAACCGCAATACCAGTCCTTGACCCAAACCCATGTACCAGACCCTAACTAACCCTAACCCCATATCTGATGAAATAGACGCTGGAGCAAATCTCGCTGGAGCAATGTCTGGTCATCCTGGAGAAAAACTTCAATTTTTCCACTGAAAATCTGAAACTCAGAGCCTTAGTACTAGGCTATGGGTAATCATAATTTTTAACCCCCCCCCCCCAAATAAAAAAGAAGTAAAAGCCAGTGAATGAAATCCACCAATACCAAGATACCTGGTATGAAGGAGTGGCTGTAATCCTTGTTAGTATTCCAAAACATTGATGTCATGAGCAATTTAATTTTCTATGCACAGCTTCTCATTATATATATGTTTTAACTGGGCAAGTTTTGATTTAGATTTTTTAAAAACAATTTATCCCCGAACAGACTGGAACACCCCGAAACATTCTGACTGGACATAAGAACTTGGTGCAGTGCTGTGCCTTTAGCGCCAACGATCGTTTGCTGGTAAGTGTGGGTAGGATAAGATTTTTTTTAAAGACCCATCACATCTAGAAGCTAGAAACCCCCCCCCCCCTTCCCCCCTGTAACTACCCCCAAATGCCACACCTACTCTCAGAGGGGCACATCTTGTAAATTGTTCAATCTATAGGTGCAGGGAGTCATTGTTATAGGTGTAGGCCTCCATAAATACAGGGAATAAGAGAGCAGTGATCTTCCTGGCGGGTTAGTTCGATGGGGGTGGGGGGGGGGGGTAATCACTGTTGTTAATTTAAATTCAGATTCCTATTTATTCTTCTTCTTCCTTTTGAGAACAGACCTCTTTACAGAGTATTATCGTACTATACTGGGGGTGTGTGCAGGTGGACCACTACACCGGGGTTTCCCCCTACTCTTATACGAATAGTGCAGTGGGTTCATAACGTGCAAAGGTAGTGAATCTTCTCTGCACAGGGCCTCCATTTAACGTCCTATCTGAGGGATGGAGTGTTTTCCACTTGACATAACCTGCATCTATGAACAAGGGAAGGGGCACGTTAACACACAACGCAGGCTTCAGTCATCTGCCTGGGTGGATTAGAATCCAAATATACAGGATCATCCTTGAATATATTTCAACAAAAGATAACATAATTCAAAATTATAGTGTCAAAAATACAGTCCAAATTGATAAATGAGTGCCGATATGTCAAAATTGAAATTGTGGTATGTGGTAGTTATTCTAAAGAAGTTGCCAAATGGAGTTATTATTATTATTATTATTATTTTTTTTTTTTTTTTTGGGGGGGGGGGGTTGGGAAGCTCTCCTAGGGTGGTAGTTGTCTGAGGGCTGTATTTCACAATATGTTATCGTACAAACAAACATTTTATCAGTAAGTAGAGCTACATTGTATGTATCTTAAATAAAGTCATATTTGTTAGTTGTAGGCTTTTATATAGTGCTGTGTATATCTCATGATATGTCTGCAAAAACTTTTCTTTACTCCAGGCAACAGGGTCGTGGGACCACACGGTACGTCTCTGGGCGCTCTGTCGTCAGGCGGGTATGGACCAGGTTAGGGTACTCAAAGGTCACACAGGAAACGTCTATGCCGTAGCCTTCTCCAAGCTTGGCATGCTGGTGAGTACAAAGGCTAAGAAAGTTATCTTAGGGTTGTTCTTGCATGGGAGCATTGACCACCTCCACCTCCATTTAGAGTAGAGGTGTTGTGGTAAAGTGGATATGTCACCAGACTGTGGATCGAACACAAGGTCCACGGTTCAAGTCCCGCCGCTGCACTAATGTCCTTTGGCAAGACATTGATCTACATTTGCCACTCTCCACCTAGGTGATATAAATGGGTACCTGGTAGGAATTAATTCCTTGGAATTCTAGAGTGGCGTAATGGCCGCCTTGCCAAAGCCAGGGTAATAATCGGGGCAGCGCCAGGAGCGTCACGACGGGATGGACATGTGCGCTATATAAGAAGCCACCATTATTATTATTATTATACCTGTAATCAGGAGCGCCAGGAGTGTCAAGTCTGATAGATACAAGCGCTATATGAGAACCAATATCATCGCTATTATGATCTTGGGGTTGTTCTTGCATGGGGCGATGACCACCTCCATTAACAAATGTCCCTCTGCAAGAGATGAATAGTATTTTGTGTCCATCATGTAGGAAAGGTTGAAATGCTAATAGTGCTTTAATTTTAAGCTTAAAAAGATTGTTCATGGGGTTCCTGTGTGGGATTGATGCATAATGCCTTATTTTACAAGTGCTTCTACTGCAAAAAAATTGCATTGTCCTTATATGGAACTACATGTGCAGTTTAAGATGCATGATTGATTTGTACCTTTACTAAGTTAGTTGAGCAGGATGAAGAAATACACAGGAGGGGTGAGAGATTTAGCCATATGAGCTTATTATTGAAGGGAATAGTTAAAGCTCAGAGTTTGACTCTGAACCAAATATGTGAGAAACTTCTTGTTGGGGTGTATTGAAAATGTGTGATATGGCAAAGTCCAGTTTTATTAAGCAGGTTACAATGGCATTAATCCTAAGCGTGGCATCAAATAAGATGAAACAAGTTTGTATTAATAATACGAATATTCCATTCTTGTACAGCACATTTCACATTAAGACATAACCTCTTCATGCACTTCCAAATGACTTTGGATATCATTACTCTTTGCTTTAGCTTGATGATTATTATTCCTTTCATCCTTTTTTTTTAATCCAAAAAAATTGATATGAAATATACCAAAGTATTAAAGGGAAAGTCCACCCCCAAAATAAGTTTGTTTCGATAGAGGCAGAATAATAAGAAAATCAAGTGAGTGAAATTTTGAGCAAATTCTGAATGAAAATAAGAAAGTTATGAATTATTGAAGTTGTGATCAATCAAATACAAATTGGCAACTCTGTGACTTATCATACGAGCTCTCCTTCATTTGCTTTGTGCATAATATTCCATAAAATCATGTTTTCTTCGTTATTGATGACGGAATATATATTTGTTCCTTGCAGGGGGAGTATAGAAACATATTTGCAATTATTATATTTAGGGTGCATGTATGGTTGAAATTTTTCTTGAGGGAAAATGAAAATTTTAGATTTTTTTTAGTACTGAGCAAATGGAAGTTGAGCTCACATGATACGTCATGGAGTTGCCAATTTGTGTTTGATTGATCACAACATGTAGTTCATGAACCTAGCAGAACTAGATTTGAAAGAGGATTTTATTTTCAAATTTATTTTCAAACCAGTTGTAAGTTTGGGTGATTAAACTGCTTGAAGCACACTCAAGATACATGCTGAAAATGCAACTATCGCATGAAAAGTCTAACTGTTATGAATTCATCCTGAGTTTCATGACTTGTTTCTTCATAGGCGACAGGTTCGTGGGACAAGACTGTTCGGTTGTGGAGTTCCCGTGATTCTCGTTGCCTAGCTGTCCTCTCTGAGCATACTGGTTGGGTCCGGGCGCTTGCCTTCTCAAACGATAGCAACATGGTAGCCAGTGCAAGTGATGACGAAACGGTATGAAACTTTCAAAAACTTTCATGCTCTTTAAAATAACAGGATGATGCACATATGTGACCTGGCACCACAAAACCAACAAAAAGTCGCAACCAGCGATTCTCCGTAATCAGCTAAAATGTCAATTTAGGTGAAAAAAATAGATTTTTGTTTTTTTGCATTTTCTGAAAGAGTGGTCTTTTCTGTACCTAGTATCAAAATTTGGAAGTCTAAAACATAGTAGAAGATGTGTTTTAAACGGTTTTTCTAGACCAGTTTTTTTCGCACAGCCTTCGGTCTCTTCCAAAATTTGATCACTTTTCCCGAGCGAAATTATCGTAGTCCGGAAATGGTCGGTCGTTGCTAACGGGTCGTGCTACGCGGGCTGTGATTGGTCCGTTATAGCAATCAGTGCGGCGCGCCATTTTGTTTGTATCCGCTTTCACATCCGAGTTCCAGATTTGCGTTAGTCTTATATTCTCCGTTAACGACTTCGAGTAGCTTGATTGTACATCACATATCCAGAATTTGTTGATCAAGAGTAAGAACATTATTATATTTTATACATTTGAGAGTGACAAGTTGCGAAAAAGTCTACAACGTCGTTACAATGCCAGGTTTTGTACGTGAGCAGAGCCGTGGGATGGTACCGGGGTGCACCAACGCAGTCATAGTAAAAATACTTTGAACCTCCTGTGAGAAAGAAAACAGTATGGGAATTAAGTATAAAGCAAGTTCATAATGTGGTTACAAATAATTGCCCAGATGTATACAAAACAAGATAGGTGACAAGCAGTGTTATGTAAGGGGGAACAAAAAGACTCCGGGTCCACCATGAATAGGCATTGTCTAGTGCAGGTGTCTCGGCACTATGTTGCAGTTCACTTAATCTGTCCAATTACAACTCTATACATTTACAACATAATAACTTTTAAAAGACTTAAGTCCACACATTGAAACCTCAGAAACATAATGAACAGACTATGTTTGACCATCAGGCCAAATTTCAGCCTAATCTGAAAATCTCTTCATAGTGGTTGCTATGGCCTTTTGATTCACCCTTCTATTGATTTCCCCGTGGTTTGCTTGCTCCGCATGCTTGAATAGCCCCAAACTTTAAAGCTCTCTTTCTCACAATTTAATACCAGTAACCTCCCTCACCAGCTCTTTTCATTCACTAAATTGAAAGGGTTAGGAAGCTTCAATTTGGACAAGTAATATACCATTTTAATGAGGAGAACTTCTTCTTTCATAATCAGATGAAATCAGGAAAATAATTTTTTGCAACTTTTTGGTGGTTTTGTGGTGCCGGGTCACATATAACCATCCAAAATTTACTGAATCACTGCAAGTGATGCCAAAATAATTAGAGAACTTTGCAAGCTGATGAACATGGTGAGGCACATCTCAATCATTTTAAGATAATGAGTCTTGGACAATTCATCGATCGAAAGTTAGAAAGTTTAATAATATCAGCATGATAGCTAGTGCAATTGATGAAGAAACGGTTAAAAAACTTTCTTGACTTTCAAGAAGTCATGGTGATGTACAGTACCTTCATGTTGCACTCATCATTGGGAAATGTCTGTAGACTCACTACTCACACAATATTGATGACAATTTGTTGAGTGGACAGTGTATAATTATGCCATTTAAACATTGGAAATTACGAGTTTTTTAAAAATTTGCTGATTGCGGAAGTTAGAAAGTGTAATGACAGTGGCATAGTGGTGAGTAGATGAGGACAAGTGGTAAAAGCAGAAGACAAATTAATATCTTATTTTGCAGTTGGACAAATCTTTTTGTCTTTGGGAAGTCATGATTTTTTTAGTTTTTTAATTTAACTTTCTCTGTGAATTGTATGTAAGCAACATCATTTTTTTCATTCATTAATTATTCATAATTGAGGGAATAACTGTAACACAAGAAAATTATCAGTGACAGATAGATCTCTAATAGAAACCATGACATTTCTCAATCTAATACATGTATGTATAGATTTGAAATTAAAAATTAAAATGGGTGATACAAATATTGTTGCAAAATTGGTTTTGAGTTTCTGATGGTATAACTCTATTATCAAATAAACATTTACCTTACTTGTATTGAGAACTGTTGCTGAGCTAGCATCATGAGCATCCCTGAACGGTGTGTGCGCTTTATATTAGTTAACACTATTATTATTATTATTATCACCATTATTAGCTATCATTAGTAATCTTTTGCTTCTTTGTGATATTGATATCCAGGTCAAGGTGTGGGATGTAAGGACTGGGGAATGTGCAAAGACGCTTGAGGTAAGAATCTAGGATAAAGTTGAACTTTGATGCAAAAAGGGGCAAGTTTTGAGTATTTTGAGAGTATCGTACCGGGAGGTCCTGTTGCCTCTTTGTTTAAGACCCCTTTTGTATAAAATGTATAGGACCTCAACATGCAGGTTTCAGTCTAATTGAAAAAACAAAGTATTTTCCATAAACGCATTCAAGAGAAAACTGCTAGAAAACAGAAAATTGCTAGAATTATTTATGATTATTTTACATTCTGCATTAAATGATGGTAGCAATCATGTTTTCCGTCATGTCCAAGATACTTTAGATGGAAGATGAATTAATATCAGTACCATTCATGTGTTCTTTTACATGATTACGACAGTAACCATTTGACTTCTTTCATGTAAGTAGAGGAAATGAAAATTACAGCACTTATCGAACAAGTTTAATGGTACACGAATCAAAACTACTGATGACGGATAGTCAACCTGTTTGAAATGTCGAGCCATTCCCGCCACTCATCCTCTCCAAGTGCTATAGTTCTCCTTAGAACTATTAGCTAAGAAAGATAACCAACAGTCTTTTTCAAGACTATACCAACAGTCCTTTCAGGACTACAAACCCTCAAGAAAGATTACTGAGAGTCCTTCTCAGGACTGCTCAATCCTCCCTCTCTCTCACATGGTGCACCCGCAAGCCTACTGTATATGAATCAAAACTAGCTCATGATATACCGTATGAGAGTGCTTCTCATCATTTTGTTTGCTGCCATCTAGTGTTAAGATACATGTCATTGAGGACAGTCATTATTTATTGCACTTTCCTATGTAATTGTGTCCAACTTTTTAGATGTAAGAGGCCCTTTGTTAAGAAAAATTGATTTTTTTGTTGTTCTGTTTACAGAGTGATTTGGAGCAGCTACAGACTTGCGTGTTCTCATCTGAGGGGGCCCTGTTTGCATCCGGGGCTGCAGCAATGGCTGTAGCGGAGAAAAGGAAGAAGCCTAGTAAAGCAGATGAAAATGAGGAGGAGGAGGAGGGGAAAAGAGAGATAGATGAAAGAACATTGGAGACAGATGATGACGGTAGTTTTGGCTAGATGCTGCATGAGGTATGCCGCTGTAGCAGCAGAAAGGAAAATCTTTGAAGGGACCTAAGGAAAGAGATCGAGGACATTTGATATAGATGATGATGGTGGTTGGTGCTAGATGATGCGTAACATGTTCTGCTATAGCAGCGGAGAGGAGAATCCTGGAAGCGATGAGAGCACATTATTTCATTGCCAGTATTCAGGATACTGCCTGGTTTCTGGTCCTGTAATTTTCCTTTCAGGCTTTTTAAGACATCATGGCCCAAATTCCAAATTTAGGCCATGCATGGCTATAACCGTCAACTATGGACATAGAAATGCTCATACTTCCTGTTCATTAGGCATGTACTCTGCTTATGGAGGTTCTCACCAGTGTGTTTCCATTATTTATAAAACCATGGTACCATTTTAGGAATTTAAAAGTTTTGCGTCGCCCTAATCCCAAATTCATCACAGATTTGTTTTCCAGACGCCTCTTGCCTTACCATTTACTACTGGTACCTGGGTTTGTATATTATGTGAGCAAGCGAGCAAAAACAAAAACTGTAGTGGCAAATATAATAATTTTTTATAAGGTTTATAAAATACAAAATTATATATCCGGGCACCTCTATTTACATATTTGAGGATATAAAGGATATTTCATCCTGTTTTTAATATTTTGTCAAGCGAGTGGGCAAAAATAATTCTTAACCTTGGTAAAAAATTCATTTAGATAAAAAATGTAAAAACGCTCTAGATAAGATTATATCCGGGCGCCTTGCTGCCTACAATATCCTGGTAGCGAGCTGCTAGAATATCATCTTACCGGGGGTATTGATGCAAATGAGAGAGAGAGAGAGAGGGGGGGGGGGGAGGAAGGGAGGGAAGGAGTTAGCTAGAGTAGAGGGTGAGGTAAATAGAGAGAGAGAGAGAGAGAGAGAGAGAGAAAGAGAGAAAGAGAGAAAGAGAGAAGGGGAGGATGGAGGAAATTAGATGCAGAAAGAATTTTTGATATCTTCAGATTGACAGAAAGTAATGACTGTACAAACTGGACAAAGACAATTGCCAAAACTGACCCCCCAAAAAAATCAGTTATTGACAACAACAAAAATGTGATCAGTCTTTCAAATCTATTTTTGTTGTTGTTTATTGTATGTTTATTACAGTACCTTTTTACATGTCAATGTATCATCTATGTATCAAAAAATATATATTTATATACTTGAAATGTATATATTACAAACAATCAGCTCAAGTAGTTTCAGTCCCTTTTCGTATTCATTGCCTAAAGAAATAATGTTGGGACTATGTAATATGTAACTGTATGGTTCAAATATATCAAATCCTTATTGCTCAACAAGTAGGTTGAATCCATCACAGTGTACATGTAAGCAATTTATTATAAAATAGAGGTAGATAAATGTGCACCAACAAATTTTATGTTGATATCTCAGGAATATGTTAAAAGCAATTTTGTCAAAAGGTTTTGAAGGGGGAATAGTTAACGATAACAAAAGGGTGTATCCTGGCTGCGGTTAATGGAGGGGAAAGGGGGGGGGGGAGGGGTTGTAATATTACTATGGAAGATTGGGGGGGGGGGGGGACACTGACCCTATATTGTAGAGAACTGCTATCGATGGGATCAATTTGTATCTTTGGAAGTCCATAAATAGTGGAGGCCGGGGGGCCGTTTCTCGAAACCATCATAACTACAAGATCAACGACATCTCGCCACTGTCACGCAACTTGTCAGCTAAGTGTTTCACGAAGCCGTCTTTGCCAAGATGAGCGACAACTTCCGCGACAAGCGAGTTGTCACTGCTCCGAACCCGTCATATCTTTTTAATTGCTGTAAAGCGCCATCACAAGTCATTTTGTTGCCATTCCATGGGCCGCGAAATGTACGATTAGTTTCACTATCATTTTGAGAAAAATATAGACGAGTTCGGTACGTAATTCTCTGGGATGCGAAATGCAAATGTACAAAAGTGAGAATACAAATTATACAGAAACTTTAAAAAGCTAAATATAAACATTAAGTCACAAATCATTAAACTATAACATATAAATAAGATAGATAAGAATATTACACACCGTTTTCCGTAGTCGATCCATAGTCTTTTCTTAGGATACCGTGATACCTTGGAGCCTATGTGCATTATTATTCCCTCTCTAATTACTTCTTCCAAATTATATTTTCAATGTCAAATCAATTATATAACAAGTATTTATGAGACTCTAGAATAAAAACTGGCTGAGAAAAGACATTTTGCCTAAAATTCCTCGTCACAATAAACAAAAAGTACGTATTGATAAACTATCACATTACGGTATCCTTCAACTAACTTTTCATTCGACTGTCGAAAAAAAAACACTCACCGGTTTTTCTTCAATTTAAGAATCTTTACAGAAATATGCAAATCGTTTAGTGATCTACATTTGATAATGACACTATTTATTATTTATTTTAGGAGAATTTATATGTATATATTTCTTTTTGAACAATTTTAGCCCCAAAACTTGTTTTGGGTTATTCTTGATAAATCAAATGGATCGTGACAAAGACTATGTTCTTGAGCTGCTAGTATCGCGATATATCGATATCATGTCTGTCATGGCTTTATGAAACGGTTTATCCGCTTCATGACATCTCCGTAGGTCGCCGACAAAGATATGACTGTCATGGAGTTGGTTTCGAGAAACGGCCCCCAGGTTTTATTGCTTGTAGGAGGATGAAAACCACCCTTTGCTATGTCACTTATGAGAGCAATATTTAAGTTTCCTTTGTAGCAATGTAGGAAAGTGATTTAAATTTAGATTTATTCCTGTTCAAATTTTTTTCTGCTGTAAAACATGAACAAGTAGTTAAAGGTATGATAATAATCTTATGAAACTATAAATGTAGATAATGAACAAATAGTTCAAAGGTATGATAGTACTTTTATGAAACAAAGAAAGTGTAAAGAATACTGTGTTATTGAGAAAACAAAATGTGAACAGTCTTTCAAACCTGTGTAATTTTTGTGCTCATATTGTATGTATATTCAAGTACATCATTACATAGTGATGTATCATCTCTGTGTAAAACAAAAAATATATTTATATACTTCAAATTGATATACTTTTATACATTCCATTTCACATATTCTCTTGTAATTCAATAAATAGAACTTTATTGGTATATATTTGAATAATCTTGCATCAAACTCTTGTATTTCATTCGTTCCAAAATATAATTTGATAAGAAAAGTTAATGAAGAGAGAGAGAGAGAGGGATACATTTATATGACAGAGAGATAAAGAATCATTTCCATTCATGCATTTATTTACATATTTATGTTCTTTTTTAAACCCTGATGTGCTGATAATTTAGACTACTATTGGTTATTTTGATATCAATAATTTAGATTGAAGTAATATAAATCGAATCCCGATGCATCCCGACAGCGTTATTTTCTTCTGCGGCACAGATTAGGCCTTTTTTTTAAAAGGGGTCTTGATTTACCCTAATCCTAACCCTAAAATTTCCCATAGGCTCAACACGCACCTAACCCCAATCCTGTGCCGCCGAAAAAAATAACGCATCCCGGCACAGGCAGAGATATTAATGGAACACACGATGCCAGGGTGTTTGCTGCCATCTCGTGTCCAAGTGCATATTTTTGCTGAGTCGACCAATCAATCATAATTTTCATATTGCTCCGTTTAGTCTCATTTCACAACGCCCCCTATCGTCAGAGTCAGCAGCCTAACATCTTAGCCTATGGACGTTTTTTTTTTTAAGTTCGTTAAAAATTCATTTTTTTTTGTTTAAACGAAAAGCACATCCACCCCGACGTACGTTATCACTAGCTCTTTCATTGGAGCCCTCATGTCTCATTGACTTTTGAAAGTTCACCCACCGTAATTTTTCAAAATAGTTTGCAAGACTCGGTCTGCCAAGCGATGGTAAGTTTATAGGTCAAGCACACGAAGGATTAGAAGCATGAATTATCAATTATCACTTCTGCTATGTTCATTATGTCCATTTCATCCAACCCCCACCGTAATTTTTCCATTTACTAAAAGCAAACATTTTGCCGAGTTTTAGCAAAAACATGAATATTCATGAACGGTCAGACAATACAGCCTTTTAGTACGTAACGTATAGTGAATGGGAATGGGCGATGATCCGTTCAGGAGGTAGAGGTCAGTGGTTTGTGCTGGCAATGTTCACGCGAGCGAAAATGAGACAATCGGAGCAATATGCATACATGTCTCGTGTGCTTTTTGAATACTTCGCGAACGAATTATATAAGCTACAGTCCCATATACGTCCCGGACCGTCCCGGACCATCCCGGACCCCATCCGGGGTGATCCGGGATTCGGTCCGTGTTGACACCGTGTTGGCACCGGGGTGGTCCTGGATGGTCCTGGATGGTCCTGGATGGTCCTGGATGGTCCTGGGCGGTCCGGGAGTCGACCCCGGATGTTTTTGACGGTCAAAAACTGCCGGGGTGGTCCGGGACGGTCCGGGACAATAGTTTGATCCGGGGTGATCCGTGTAGCCACCGTGCTGGGTCCGGGGTCATCCGTAGTGGCGCCGGGGCGGTCCGTGTTGATCCGTGGCAGTCCGGGAGTGAGTTATTGACCGCCCAGGACCATCCAGGACCATCCAGGACCACCCCGGTGCCAACACGGTGTCAACACGGACCGAATCCCGGATCACCCCGGATGGAGTCCGGGATGGTCCGGGACGGTCCGGGACGTATATGGGACTGTAGTTTAAAAGCATCACACTTTTTTGAACAAAACATCCCGGACCATCCCGGATCACCCCAGACCATGGTCCGGGATGGTCCGGAGTGGTCCGTGCTCGTCCGTGCTGGTCCGGCTTTATATGGGACTGGGGCTATACTGTACGAATTTTACCTTCAATTTGGGCAAGCATCCTGGAAAATGTGGTTATTTGCCCTGAATGGCCTTTCAAAAACAGTTTTTTAAATAAATATATTGCTTATACCACGCCATTATTGGAGGAGGAGGGGGGGGGGGGGTGCATAAATAGGGGGCCTATTTTATTTTGTATGTAAAGTGTAATGGAAGGTAAAAGGTAACATTTGTTTTGCAGGGGAGCTGTGCCCCTGGATCTGCCACTGTGAAATAAAAAGCACTTCAGTTTTGTCAAGATAGAGACATGTAAAATATATACACTTTGTTTTGTAAATCTGCATGTGTATATTTTTCAATCTTGGGTGTTCAGATTCGGCATGATGAAGGCATACCATAAAGCTGCTTTCATGAATTAAAAATTACTCCTCTATTTTGCTGGAAGAAACAAGGAGGTATTCAGCAATGAGCCTCGCCCCCCCCCCCACACACACACACCCACAAACGCACACATTTTACATGTTAACGGGTCACTGCGAATAGGCCATTTTCGTAATGTAATCAAATTAAATGCGTATGTCTTTATTGAGTGCCTCGTTACAAATTATTTCATTCAATATCACCTGTTGTTGTTCGGTATGATAAACGGCTTGTCCTACCAAGCAACAAGATATGCAACTCGCATTCTGACTATTGAAATAAAATCATTCATTACAGGTGAAAAAAATAATTTGTAACATGGCGCTAATTTGATTACATTATGAAAATGGCCTATTGAAAGGAATCCAAAATGTTAAGAGTATTAGGTTGAGTGATCGCCCCCCCCCCCCCCTTAAGACCTCTTCAAATCAATTCACAGATAAGAGTGATTGTTGTCGTTATGGGTCAACTTGCGATCGTAGACACACCTTATTATATCTGGGAGCCCTTTCCCACGCACTTGATCCTCACAGAAAATCCTGCTTTTAAAAAAAAGAAATTCCAACAAAAGATGCGAAATGCAGTGAATAATGCAACAAAAATAGGTGCTCAATAATAGACTGCTGGCACCAGCTCTCGCGTCAATTTAGATGAGTTACCTGCCAAATCACATTATAGACAAGTTTTTTTTTTTCAATAGCTAAGCTGTAAATCTCCAGGCAATTTTAGTTGACGCTTTAAAGGTAAAGACCAGTTATGGTCATGCGATTGCATTGTGAAAGAAACGTTGTGGAATCGATCAGAAAAGGTTGATCATCTAGCATCTAACATCTGCAAGGTTCTGGAATCATCAAAATGACAAGAAATTTGACCCATTCTTCGTAAAGTTACAAGCACTATACACAGAAAGATGTATATGGGACTACCCTATATCTCTCACAGACCATGAGAGAAACAAATTTACCAAATATATGAATTAGTAGGCGGTTTCTCGGCAAATTTTTTATCATCATGTATTAGTCAAAAACATATTCTTTCACATGATTGGTAATGAGAGCTTCCATTTCATTTTTTTGAAATTGGGGCGTTTCCAATACTGGTCTTTACCTTTAAACGATAACTCAAAGGAAACAATCACAAAGTTTGAGGGCTACCCTCGCCTAACCAAATTATTTTGGGATTACAGTAAAGATTTTTGAAGAACAAATCTGGATAAGTGCAGGCGATTTCTGTTGACTCTTAACTTCATAACTCTTAGGGAACATTTGAAGATACTTGAGGGCATGAAATAGAAGAAGCATTTTTAACTGCAGGAAAATGACCCTTTTTTCAGAATCAATTCAAATGACTCTTTTTTTCCTTTGCACATTCAATTTCACAGCCCAAACATTCTGAAATAAAACTGTAATGACTCGGTATGTTAAGAAAGAAAGTGAACATAAAAATGGCGCTATTCAACCGTAACAATAACCATTTCATACATCACTAAATTTAATGATTGCGCTAGGGTTCCGTGATGGTGATTTATGATTTTATTTGTCACTTGTCAGGATGCTATGAATACGTGTGAAAAATGATGTACATATATTATTCACATTATTATCACTAACAAATGAAAATATCACGGTGTAGGGAGGCAATAAATAAATGAAAGAATTTGGGTGTATGTGAGTGAGTGAGATAGAGAGACAGAGAGAGACAGGAGAGGAGAGCGTGGGAGGGAGAGAGGGAGAGAGAGAGAGAGAGAGCGAGGGAGAGAGAGAGAGAGAGAGAGAGAGAGAGCGAGAGAGAATAGAGGAGAGCGTGGGAGAGAGTTTCTTTTATACTTGTTCAATCTAAACTCCAATTCCTTTTCGCACATAAAATAGAAACAAATCCTTTTCCATAGTCCTAGCTTATACAAACTAAAGCATAAATATAACAAAACTATTGTATCATTTGATAAACGAACATAAATACGACATAATTCATTTTTCATAATATCACAATGTATATAACTTAGATATATCTCAACTACATAATAGGAAAATGTTATCACACTACACAGTTATTTCATTCCTAAAAACTTGAACAAGAATTGTTTTGTTTTCCAGAGTAAAACTGGATACTTAAAAAAAAAAAATGAGTTTCATATTTCTCAATATATTGTAATACAAAATTGAAAGTATTAGTTTTTCTTTCATCAAACATATATACCTGATTCTATTCAAATTTGAATAGAAACACTCTATACGAGGGGCACTAACGAGTAATCATATTTGAATAGATAATTATTTTGACCGTTTGATGTATCTTCGATATTAAAGCTGACTTTATAATAATTAATAATAATTAATAATTTGATTGCAGGGCCCTCAGGGAGAACAGTATGAATACTGATGAGGCTAACCTGTGTAAACAAGACATATTATTATTATTATTATTATTATTACTTGAATTCGCGGGTTCAAATAATGATTGAATATTATTATTATTATTACTCATACCGCATTTTTCCCATAAGCACTTACTGTGAATGAAAATTAAAATAGCATAAATTATTTATACATGTAATAAGAAAAACAGTCTTAAACTACCAACTGCAAAAAGGATGTGTTTTAAAGGCCTTTCTGAAGGTAATAGCTGATGGAGACTGCCTAAATCTAAGAGGTAGATCGTTCCAGTATTTTGAAGCAGATAAAGTAAATATCCTATCATCATCTGCCGATGGACTGAAGAAAAGGATGCTATAGTTCGTCTGCTTTAGACCCTCTGTTGATGAGAATGTCGGCTTTGGGAACTTGGTCTTCTAGAATGTCTTTTCTCTTTTTGCGAGCTAGAAAGAAGATAATTAAAGGTTAAAGAGCATTTCAGCACGGTAATAGTTAGAATAACTGTTTCCAAAAAGTTGATTTATCATTTATGATTCTCTACTTAGGCCCTACTCTTAAACAAATATTTCAATCTCAAAGATACATGTACACACTAAAGCAGTTTCTTTGAACTTTATTGGAATTTCAGAAATTCAGAAGAAAAGAAAAGATCCGAGTTGAAACACATCATGTGCCTTATTCCATAATATACCGCTCAACGTGATTTGTTGTAATTAATGAAAATGCAGTTCGAAATAAAGTGGTAAAAGTCATTGAGCATTATTACTCTGCAGTAGATGATGGTTTGTAAAGCAATACACTCATATGCAATAATATGTAAGAGCGTGGTGTGCAACCTTTTCTTTAGTAACTAAACAACTGTTTTGATGAAGGTAGCCCCCCCCCCCCCCCCCCCATCTATATGATGTTTACCCTTACCGTTCGGTGCGGTCCTTCGGCGTCGAGCGAATTCAGCCTCTGTAGAAATATGCGGAGAAAAAGGAATAACAGTTTTATATCTCGAATGCCAATATTTTATATTTTGTATAGGCTATCTGCTACCTCAGTCTGCATCAAAGCGTATCGCATTGTAACCTAAGCAGAGCTTCGCAAACATCCGTGCTGCTAAGTAGTTTTTATGTATTATTTTGTATTTGATATTATTTTATGAAGTTATGGCGTGGGGGTTTTAATGATCTAACGGAACATACACATCGACCCCTCACACACAAACCATTTGAGAAGGAAAAACACTCCACAACAGCATAAAACCGTGAACTATTTATAAAAGAAATCTGATGAAAGGCTTTGGGAAGGGCAGCAAGGCCAAATAGATTTAGACATAAAGTAAACCTACACTACATGAAAAATTTACACATCACGGGGCGAGGGGGTGGTGGTGGTGGTGGTGGTGGGGGGGGGGGGGGTGTGGTTCCTCACCCAGCACGGACAGCAAAGAGCAAAACGTAATTGGAATGATGCCTGATTAAGATTGGTTTTGGGAGGCCCGTAGTAACAGTGGTGTAGCGAAAGAGGCACGTGCCCCTCGAGCGGATTGTCATAAAAAAAAAGAGAGTGAGTGTATGTGAGAGAGAAAGCGAGAGAGAGAGAGAGAGAGAGAGAGAGAGAGAAAGGGGTTGGCAGGGAGAGAAGGAGAGAGGGAGAGATAAGAAAGAGAGAGAGAGAGAGAAAGAAAGAGAGAGAGAGAGAGAGAGAGCGAGAGGGGTGGAGATGGGAGGGAGCTATAGAGTACAGAGGGAGAGGTAGATTATATAATTATAGAGATATAGTTGAGAAAGAAATAGAAGAAAATGATAGAAAGGGCTGGCAGGGGGAGAAGGAGGGAGAGGGAGAGAGAGAGAAAGAGAGAGAAAGAGAGAGAGAGAGAGAGAGAGAGAGAGAGAGAGAGGGGGGGGGGAGTGAGAAAACAAAAGAGGAAAATGCAACATGAAAAGAAAATAGGGACTTTTAGATTCGCACGACGAGAACGTGGACTGCTACATTGTGACACCCTTTTAAGGCAATGTGACGTCCTTTTAAGGCACTGGCTTAAAAGGACTTCATATTGCCTTAAAAGGGTGTCACATGTATCAGTCCACGTTCTCGTCGTGCAAATCTAAAAGTCCCTAGTGATACGACCGCATCCACACCCTAATACTGGTGTGAAACCATTTAGTGACCTTTCAATGAAAGGACCTACGCCACATCAGATCTACAAACACATTGATAGTCTTACCTGTTCCTTCCATAAGCTCAGCTACCAGAAACATCGAGATCAAGAGAATCAGGACAAGCTTTCTCATCTTTAAGATTTTTTTTTCTTCGAAAGAAGATCAAATACCTGAAAGTAAAAGGTTAACAAAATAATAACCTTGATAAATTTATCTCTCTTTATTATCAAAACTGTTCGAAATGTAAACCAATGTTTCCATATAAACCGAACATTATACTTTACCCTACCATAAACGTTGATCAGTGGTTCCTAAAACTTTTAGGAGTGGCGTTTTTCTTACATTTCATTTAAAATGAGAAAACAAATCAAATAAATTGTCAAATGTCTTTTAAAAAGGGATTACCCTTTCGAATTTGTGTAGGCCCATTATCCCCTGATTTCCACGCAACAGTTGGAGACATAAATCATGAAGTTCAAGGATGAAAGGCCAACAAAAGTACAATAAAACAATATTCTGCGTAGGAAGCGGGTTAGTGGTTTACAAAACATCAATTAGAAATGCATGATTTCACTATAAGCGATTCAATCCGATTTTAAGTAACACAATAGTTCGTGAAAAGGCAAGAATTGTGATCAAAGAAATGGGAAAATCTCTTCATAAATCAATGTAATCTAATTGAAACTGCGAGAGATTATAGGACAAGCGTTGGCGTGCACCCCCTCCCTTATCCTAAAATAAGAAAGAATCTTTTTTTAAAGTAGATTGTTTAGACGGTTCATGAGTTGCCATTCAAAAAGAAAATCGCAATATTGCTCGAACAAGTTGCACACAAAGGCGCCATTTAAAGTAAGCTTATCTCGTTTGCTAATCGGGATTCTGACCGTTTTCAGGGAACGCCCCCGTAATTAAAAGCAATGGGCCGCTTTCGTAATGTAAGCAAGTGTAAAGTGCAATCTTGTTATAGATTATTTTATAAACCTGTTATGAATAATTGTATTTCAAGTCAGAATGCGAATTGCATACATTTATTGTTATCAGGTAGGACAAACCATGCTTGCCCTACCTAGCAACACCGAACGTTCTTGATAAAGTTTATATTATCTCAGAAGTCAGAACATTACTGACCAATCTCTGTGACTTTGATTGATCAATAACGTCCTGAGAAGATAAAAATAGGTGAGAAAATTTCTTCCAACTTTATGGGCAACAATGTATATGAGTTGTTGCCATGTCAAGCATACCTCTTGCAAATTCTTGGTTCGTCAATAAGCCCAGTAACACGATTTGGGAGCACCATGATGCGAGGGAAATATCAGAGCAGGTAGATATAATCAAATGCATTCGTTTTGAATAATTTCTGATCTTCGGGCACCACGTTTAAAAAAAGTATACGTAATTGTTAGCTCAACCTTGAACTTAGTTGAGATCAAGGAGATTAAAATCTCATTTTCAGGGATTTGTAATGGTTTCTTATAGTACTCCCACACAAAAATGCTTGCTCATCCAGAAGAAAAGATAATAAATTGAAAATATTTCCCCCGGAGTAAACAGGACAACAACACAAGCTAGAAATAGGTGTTTTCATAGCTTGCTGGCCAAGATGAACCGGTGCGTTAAATGGAAAAATGGCACACGGCTAACTATTTTTACACATCATTTATATCAAATCACACAAGAGATGAACTTTTATAAAGTCACCTTACTCGATTACTCTTCGGTTTTACGAAACAAGTTCCAGCGAAAATATTGCTGCGTAATCAATCTCTTACACGTACTCTGTACACTGTATCACTCTGATCCTAACTTGGTACACGGGTTGTACGACACTTGCTTCTGCAACAATTGGTCCGCGTTAATTTCCAACACCAGCCCTATATACCCAACACCAAACCTATACCTAATCCTAAACCAAACCCTAATCCGATAACTTAGACGAAATAAAGACAGGAGTAATAATTGTCGCAACTACACCCCTGTTCCAGTATATTTTTCCTAGAGAGGTAGTTGTGAGTATATAGGGTTATTTGTCCAAGGGTGTATTATTTTTAAGTGAGGGGGGGGGGGGGGATTATCGGGATAACTGTCAGAAGTACAAATTAAGAAATATTTTAATGGTGATGTAGTCTAGGTACAAGCTTGTCGAATTGTGTATCATTAGTCCCATTCATACTGAGGTCAAAATTTGCGGAGTTCTGACCGCTGTGTAACTGGGCCTATTAATTATATAGTACTACTACAAGAACTCATGAACTTAGCAGTGGAGCCATGTACCCATAGATAATGTTGTGAAATACCCTTTAAAATCTGATCCTGTAAGTCTGAAATTCTATCAAAATTATGTCATGCTCTGATTACTTTAAAAGGATTTCTAGAAGAAGGTAAAAAAAGACACAATAGCACGTCACCCAATTGGCAGTGATAATGAGTGCAGGGAAGAAAAGCTGTATAGTTTTTCTATAAGAGAAACCTCAAAGGAATGCCCATACCTACATACTTTGGACGCCCCTCCTCCATTTAAAGGGGTAGAGATAAGTAGTTGGATTGAGCTTTTGCAGTAAAAACCAAACTTAATGAATAATAATAATAATGTCGGATGTGACTTTTCGCTGTCAATGGTGGTTTATTTCGACAATTTTTTAAAACCTGCTTAGCAAGCGGTGCATAGTGATTCCATAATATTTGTTTTACGTTTTTTTTTTTTCAGAACTAAAAGGGTGAAAATGGTATTTCATTAAAGGTACGAGTGCATGCAACGTTCACGCTTAGATTGAAGGTTACTGTCAGGTTTTACTCCCACACGTTGTATAGTTAGGAAAAGAGAAAAAGGAAAAGAAAAAGAGAGGAAGAAAGAGAATGATAGAGAGAAGAGAGAGAGAGAGAGAGAGAGAGAGAGAGAGAGAGAGAAGGTAAAGATACAAAACCAATTAAATTATGAGACCGAAAATAAAGAGGAGAGAAAGGCATAGAAGGGAGGGGGGGGGGGGAATTACATATAGTTCTGAATGTTGGTAGTTACCAAACTTCAAAAAATTGTATCTGTACTTTAAAACAAATATGATTAAAGTGCAAAGTAGTTTGTAACAATCACAGAAATATGAGTTTGGGTCTGCCAAAATTAAGTTAATCCATGTTAGGATTTCAATAAGATTTTTATCTTTCATTTTAAACTTTTGCCCTTTGCTCTTTAGCTCTTGCCCCTCTTTTTATTTCTTTCACTTTGTGATTCCCAAATCTAAATAGATTACAAATAGGTATTCTTTATATAATTCTTAGGACTAATACTATAGATTATCTTCAAACAAGCCTTTTCAACTTTAAGAGAACTTCAAGAACCCGTTGGAGAAAAAGGGTCTAGAGGCTGATTAAGCAGATGGGTGACGGATGAATAAAATGACGCAGAATCTCTTTGAGATACCCATCTATAGACATGATGGTATCCATGTTTTCAGAGTCACTCGTGCCGCGTCCAAGGAATAGAATTCTTATCACTATAATGGAAAATATTTAATCTTTATATAAACATTGATGAAGTTTTCTTATATTTTTTAAGGATTTTTCTTACATAATCATAATAAATGAAATAAGTAAACAATGCAATTATTTTCACGAGCATTTAGAAGCATTTGATAAGCTATCACGTTTCCGTAGGATAGGATATTTGCACAAGAATATTACAGACAGCATTTCATATTTTCCTTTTTAGGTCTTTTACTCCCAGTGACATAACGTGTAGGCATTAGAAAACATGGTGGACTTTGAGTCTATGATTCAGACATAATGTATACAAGACAATTTTTCCTTTGTAAAATTGTGTTTTTATTGGTGTTGCTGAGGAAAATATTGCTCACCTCCATATACACGTGAAGTGACGTGATGCTACCCCCCTCTCTCTCGCTCTTTGTCTTGTTTTTGTCTTCATAATCATAAAACACCCACACATGACACATACATTTTCTTCTCATCTACTGATATCCATTCCTCCTTGTACGAACTGTATAATGTGTAAAAACCATGCACGTCCATTCAACATGTTTCTACCTTTGTCAATTTGAATAGGCTTCTCGTGATAAGCCTGGCAGTCCTACAACTGCGTACTACCAGCTACCCTTTTGTTGAAATGTGCTTGTTTGAACTCATATGAACTTAGGATGCTGCACCCTGTCCCTTCTCTCTCTCTCTCTCTCTCTCTCTCTCTCTCTCTCTCTCTCTCTCTAACCCCCAGTCTCTATCGTTCTCTTCCCCCTCCTCCTTCCTATTCTCTTCCTTTTCCCCTCTATCTCGCTATCTCTTCCTTCCCCCCTCTATCTCGCTATCTCTTTCTTTCTCTCTCTTCCTGTTTTTTGTTTTTTTTTACTTGTTCTCCTTCTCCTTTTTCCTTGTCTATCCTAGACTCTTCCCTTTTCCTTCTCTGTCCTTGCACTAAACTCGTTATTTTTCCCCCTTTTTTCATTCTTGAATACAAGTTTGATTTTTTTTCTTCTAAAAGGGGATCTATAACTTCAGCTTTACTTCTTCTGTAGGTTCCTCCACTTTTTCTCAAATTAAGATGTAATTAAGGATTATTATATTATCCACAATTCTTTGATTATGATGCATTGTATATGTTCACTAAAGAATTATGTACATCATTTAATAATTGCAACATTACTATTGTACCGATTTTGGTAAATCACCGCTTTGTTTTGTTTATGTTTTATTATATAGGTAATATGCGAAAGTGAAATGATTTTAAACCATTGAACCATTGTCTCTCAGTCAAATCTGTTATGTTTCACACAGGCAAAGCATTAACACAGTCTCTCGTATTAAATTTGCCCCCACTCCCACCTTCTGCTTAGTTATCTCAATCAACATGTCTCTTCTATACGGTCTGTAAAAATATCTTCTCTTTACAAAAGGGATTTCACAAAAACCTGTCATTTTTGCTCTATTTCAAGAGAGACATATCAATTACTTTATTTTTTCATTGTGCTCCTTGTCCCATTAATCAAAATTCCTTTCCCAAACACAACTTTGAGCTAATCCACCCTCTTTCAAATGTTACGAATCCAATTTCCACCCTTCAATAGTCATGGTAGTTCAAAAAGGAGACGAAATAACTACAAAGCATCTAAACACTGTGTTCCATGCACGTCCATGTATAGAGCGATGTATTACCTGTCAACACAAGTTCTGTATGAATTCCTTTCTTCATGCAGACGAGTGCAAATACACTCTTTTGTGCGTCATGTTAAGAAATGTTAAGAAATCCACGTATGATCTGCACAACTTTATTAATTCAATTATTACTGAACAACCTATACGAACCTGCGATTTTTTTGTACAACAAACATTACAAATGTGTCCAATAATTGACAAATTGTCCTTTATGAAGAGTAGAACAAAATGTTTCACTACCTTAAATCAGTGTAATTGTTCTGGAATGTTTTCAGAGAAATGTTCTTTGGTATCTTTAAAGAGAAGGTTGAGTTCTGGGGAGAGGTGAAAAATAATTTGTGAGCGTTACTCATTTTTATTATGCAAGTGTGGAAGAACATCAGATAAGACATGTTCCCTGAAAAGCATGGCTCTTCAAATACCTTCATATTCTAAATATGCATGTAACATCGTAAAAATCGGGGCCGGCTTTTTACGCCACGTGTTCGTGTAGTCCCATATACATCTGTCTGTGTATAGTGTTTGTAACTTGGCCGAATTTGTTATCATTTTGATGATTCCCGAACCTTGCAATACACACAAATTCTTATATGCTAGATGATCAACCTTTTCTGGTCGGTTCCACACCGTTTCTTTCACAATGCAATCGCATGACCAGAACTCAACTTCATCTTTAAACACACAAAAAATTATCATAGTAATGCCTGTACCGATATTGTTTTGAAGTTTGAGCATTAAAGCTTATCTGCCGTAGTTTACAGGAGGGATTAGACTGCCCTGCAAGGTCACTGGACAGGTGGTTATCTCATCAACTCAGCTCTCAGTTAACATAAGAAAAAGAGGATCATGGGGGACCAATGGTCACCGATTAGGCATTGTTTGTTATATAGAGGGCGCAAGTAGCTACAAGTAGTGCAGTGGGTCTTTAAATGATCTTTTATCTTTTATGTGAATGAATTACTTTGTATGTTTACAAAATCATCTTACCATAAAATAGTGATATCAATCGGTGGATAAGAAATACTGAGCCAAACTTGAGAGGGTGATCATTCATCATACTGTCTCGGGGAAGAGCACATGAAATTCTTAGACCCACTGCAATCTCCGTTCAACCCCCCCCCCCCTCCCACTCCCAGCCCCCCGCCCCACCCCCGCCTCTATGTGTTTTGAAGGTAACATTGTATTTTTATGGTTTTTCCTACAAGTTGACGCAACCTGCATGTAGTACGGTTGTAACTGATTGTTGCAATATTACTCGCTTTTATGTACCGTGAAAAAAGCCCGGGGAAAAAGTTGTGAATTGTGAAAAACTGATGACAAAACAAATAATTGAAGTATGACAGATGTCTCCTATTTGAATGGTTGATAACAATTGAGGTTAAAGCCCATTCTAGGATTATGTATATATATATGTATAACAGGATTCTGTTTTTCTTTTCAAAAGTAATTATGCCTTGCTGTCCCGCTCTAATTCACCGTGATGGAGTACATTCATTAATTGATAGACAGCACGAGTTTCGTTAAATTACGAGCAAGGATTCACCGGGTATGCAAATACGCAATTGTGTATTACATGTATGTGCGTGGAGAAACTTCGTAGCATACCTATATCTTTATTTCACGGCTGGGACAGTATTTAGGGGAAAAAATCAATTAAACATCTCAACGTCAAAAAAATGGTCCTCGACCGACTATGAATATGATGAAAATTCGATTTAATAGTCCGCCCACATTAGGTTTTTACTTCCAGATCAGCATCTTTACAAAATGTCTAAAAAGGAAAGTATATACATATTCATATAAAAACTGAAATTGTACCCATTTTTGACAATTTTCTTTATTTTCGTCAGGATAATTCATATTTCAATTTCCATTTTATTCGCATTCCCTGAATAATACATTTCCGAGTTTTCTTCTTCCACTGCACTCACTGGAAAAGAAGCGGCACTGTAGCTAAGAGTGAGTGTTTTTAACAATGATCTAAAACAAACAAATAATTTATAAACAAACTAGTTTGTTTGTATCATAAATATGAAAATAATTTGTGAGGTTTTCACAAAACTCTCTGTCTGCTATGCCTATCATGAACACTTTTAAGTCCCATGAACGCTGAAATATGATGCAATATAAATATTAATCTTTACGAATAATCTTTAAAAAACTTTTGAAATTCTAGCTAAATAAAGCAAATTAATCAAAATATATACCCATTAAAAACATACGATGAGAAACAAATATATAGATGAAAGGAAATTCTTACGGAAAACTGAAACTGAAATGGAAATATAGCAAAAGTAACACACCATACATTATTGCTGAAATTAGACATAATCTAAGGCGCTTATATTAACGAAACCCGAAATGAAATCTGATTATATAAGGAACATAAGATACTAATTAAAAAACTTTTAAATGAATTCATATAACGGTGTAATGGTGCTTAGAGTATTATTTGTAACGTGTGATAAGATTCAACCCACACAAATCGAAACTCGAGTTTAAAAAAGAAGATATAAATGATATAACTCTGTTCGACTTGTGTTGCGTGACCCGCATTCCTAAAAGAGTATTGAATTTTCAACCTCCTCCATAACACCTCATAAAATTGTGCAATATTAAACTATGATTATATCTGTTGATCCATCACTAACCCATTGCGATTCAACGACTTTAACTTACTATTGAATATTTTGAATTGATCTGTGAATCTTTTGTGGTTTTCTTCAACAAATTCCAGAGCTATCTCCAAAGGGGTAGTAAATTCCATAGTGACAATTGATTTGGTTTGAAACCAAGAATATAGAAAATATTTTTGTTTTGCTTCAGTTCATGCTTTGCTTGCTGTGAGAAGTCGGTCAGTTTACGGAAAGGAATACCGGAGGCTGCCCCCTCCATTGTAAAATTTTATTGTCGTGTCCCCTCTATTGTAAACATTTTAGTGTCGTGTTCCCTCCATTGTAAAAATTGTACGTCATCTTTTCACTTCATCTGTGACATGAATAAATATAATCCTGAAAGAGACAGGATACAGGAATTAATATTATTTTTAAAACCTTGAGAAAATAGTTTGAATGGCAGTAAAATTGTTTGTTTGACCGAGGTATTCAAAAACATATATTTAATGCCCCTTTCGAGGCCCCATTTTCCTTCCTGTCGCTTTAATCAACGCCCAAGCTTTTGCGAGCACGGTGCGTATCATACTTTGGTTCTATTCTACCCATGAAAAATAAATATGAAAGAGCATAACGCAAATATGGACGTTTAGTATTTACACATTTGACTACATACTAAGCAAACTTGCCCAAACTTTTGCAACGAGGAGTTCACTCATACATGTAAGGCAACTTTTCTCCTTTTTTCTCCCACAATGAATACAATCTGGGACACTTGCCAGGACACACACACACACAAAAAAAAAATCTGCAGTGACATATTCAGAATTGAAGGATGAATGGTAGACAGTGATCGAATGCTCAACGTGGAATAAGATGGGGAATATGAATGCATTTTTAATTTGTTCATTTCTGTCCGCATTAGGATCAATTTCTCGATCCCAATTTTATTTTCGGATGGTTTCAAATGATGATGATGATGATGATGATGATGATTCACAACACTTATACGGCGCCACATTAAACAAATCATTTAAATGCGCAGGCTCCTCCAATGAAGTCCGTATTTTCACATTTTCAAAAAAAGGGTCAAGTTTGGAGACATCTTAAACTGTTCCTCTTGTTGCTCTTATTATACTCGACACGGCAACAACAACAACAACAACCACAACCAAATTGCAATCGTCACTCCAAGTATTGAAACACAATACATCGTTACAAGCGAGTGGAATACTTCATCACTTACCTCATAATAATGCATGGACAACTTTAAAAAGAATGATAATGAAACCTAATAACTTTAGCTGATAGCCTAATATCGATGGAGCTAAGTTTAAATTACCCAGTCATTATGCAACACCCTATCAAAATAGATGGTTTTCCTTGCTTTGTAATACAATTTAAGTATCTTAACTGGGCGACAGACTTCCAGAAGATTATTAGCTAATGTTTATTGGTTTCATTCTCCTTTAAGATATCAAAAGAACTGGAGGTGTTTCACAAAGATCCTAACTTGAACTTATCTCTAAGTTGGACTTAAAAAATATGGAGAGCGATTTGTAGCCTTAGAATAAAATATATTCAAAAGTATGTTAGACTTTTTATAAATTCCACATCAAGAACATGAAATCTAATTGATAACAGAAAATATGAATGATTTTAATCAACATTTTTTCCTTTTTAAAATAACTTTTACAAAATATTTCAAAGCTGCTCACGGCCTTCCATACAGGTTAAGTCCAATAGAGATCAGTTTAACTTAGGATCTTTGTGAAACACCCCCATATCAATAATAGACTCACTGCGCATAATTGTCTGGTATACGAATCTAATGCATGCGATAGGCATATAAATGAATAAATAAATATAATTATACAGCACTTTATTTACCTCAGCTACTAAGGAAAACGAAAACTTTCAACCGGCACATTAGCAAAATGTTTACTATAGTCATGATGGTTGGAAAATAAAATGCCGAACAGTCAATAATGTAATTTTCCGGGTTAAGATCCAGCACAACTGAATGTGATGTGTTAGCAAACATACATTTTTACTGAATGTGAATCAATGTTACATACCTGGGAAGCTGGGACAATGTATCCAAGAACTGTGACTTGTACGCGTGACTTAGGCATGCACTGACGGAGCTGAGTAAGCGAATGATGAATGAGAGAGATCCATTCATTTCATTTTGAATGAATAGTTTGATAGCTGGGTGTTTCGAAGTTAGCTGATCAGAACGAAAACTTGAGGGCGTGTTTCCTTGCATATTTAGAGCTGGTTTAGGCTAAGGGCAAGGTGAGGTTTTATATATATTTTTTTTATAATTGTTGTTCTTCACATTTGGTATGGGAATAATGTAGCGAGGTGTATAAGTGCGGGAAACGTGAATACACAAGAAAGATAAAAAAAATAACGTGTATGAAAGGCGTGTGAGGAAATATGCAATCCTGTGTAATAGGCCATTTTGATAATGATATCAAACTAAAGCACACATTTTTGTTAAGTGCCTCGCTACAAATTATTTCATTCTCGTGTTAGGAAAATCTTTATTTCAATAGTCAGCATGCGAATAGCATGCATTACGTGGTGCTACAGTGTTTGCCCTAGCTAGCAACAATTAATAATAATAATAATGCTGGAGTATTGCATAGGGCTCATGTCTGCCACATTGGTCATGTTAAGACGTGGCTTCTTAGTCGGCGTAAGTTTAACCCTGCAGCAATAAATTTTATATAAATATATGACTTATACCATTAGCTCTTACTCGGACCAACTTGCCAAGATTAAGTTAACACGACCTTCCACCAACCATGCACCGACCCAGTCTAACTAAGCGTAACTAAGTAAATTCCATAGGCCTAGTGACAATTGATATGGTTTGAAACCAAGAATATAGAAAACATTTTTGTTTGCTTCAGTTTATGCTTTGCTTGTTGTGAGAAGTCGGTCAGGTCACGAAAAAGAATACCGGAGGCTGCCCCCTCCATTGTAAAATTTTATTGTCGTGTCCCCGCCATTGTAAAAAATTTATTGTCGTGTCCCTTCCATTGTAAAAAATTGTACGTCATCTTTTCACTTCTTCTTGCTTTCTTGCTTTCTGTGCATTTTGCATCTTCTCTCTCCTTTATCACTCTATTTACTCTTGACCTAATTGATGTAAATAATGATGATGTCTGATAAGAATTAGACGATATATAATTTGTTTATATTAATACGGAGAGTTGATATGTGACATACTGTTATTTCACTTATAAATTGTATTATAATGTACCCATGTACCTCAGCTGGTACACCCTCTTTGACTTGCATCTTTCTTTTTCTATCCCCTCCTTTGTTGGTAATAATAATCTCACTATTGCATGATATGTGTCAGGTCATGGACGACATAGGTACAATATTATATAACGATGGTTGATGATGAAGAGATAAACCCAAGTATACACGATGCCATAGCTTGTAAATATTACCTTCCTCATGAATTTAATTCAAATTTTATGAATCATAAACAGTCATTCAGCCTATTTCATACCAATGCTCGTAGTCTTGCCAAAAACCATGAATATTTAAACCTTCTTTTGTCTTCTCTTACTATACACTTTTCTGTAATAGGTGTTACTGAAACTCGGTTGAGGGACAACTCACCACCTATATATAATATCAATGATTATTCACTTATACGTTCTGATAGACAATCTGGTAGAGGTGGTGGAGTTGCGATGTATATATCTAATTTGTTGTCGTATAAAATAAGACCAGATCTTACCTTCAACAGTAATTTCATTGACTCAAAAAGTGTAGAAATTAACTTGCATAATAAAAAAAATGTTATTGTTTGTACGGTCTATCGGCCTTCAAAATAATGCGAGCGTTGATATATTTTTGGAAGATTTAAACATTCTATTAGAACGGATAAATCATGAAAATAAAGATATACTTGATTGGTGATTTTAATATAGACCTGTTGAACTCGGATAATAATTGTTATAATACTTTTGTGAATATTTTACAAGCAAATTCTTTCATTGGAGCCATTGATAAACCTACAAGAATTACGCAGAACACATCAACTTTAATAGATAATATTTTTACGAATGTTGTTACTCATATGGCTCCGTTTAGTCTCATTTCACGACGCCCCCTATCGTCAGAGCATGATCGGAATCAGCAGCCTAACATGTTAGCCTATGGACGTTTTTTTTTAAAAATCGTTAAAAATTCATTTTTTTTGTTTAAACGAAAAGCACATCCACCCCGACGTACGTTATCACTAGCTCTTTCATTGGAGCCCTCATGTCTCATTGACTTTTGAAAGTTCACCCACCGTAATTTTTCAAAATAGGTAGCAAGCTCGTCATTGCCTATAATACACATGTGAAACAAGTCTAACTTTGGACTCAGTTTACCAAGCGATTTGAAGATTATAGGTCGAGCACACGAAACATAAAAAGCATGAATTATCATAGATCACTTCTGCCTATTTCATTATGTCCATTTCATCCAAACCCCCACCGTAATTTTTCCATTTAGTAAAAACAAACATTTTGCCGAGTTTAGCAAAAACATGAATATTCATGAACGGTCAGACAATACAGCCTTTTAGTACGTAACGTATAGTGAATGGGAATGGGCGATGATCCGTTCAGGAGGTAGAGGTCAGTGGTTTGTGCTGGCAATGTTCACGCGAGCGAAAATGAGACAATCGGAGCAATATGGAAAATATGAATGCTGGTCTAGTTTACAGTGAAATATCTGATCACATTCCCATATTTCTTATTTGTAATAATGATCTCATGTCTCGTACAAAAGAAAAGGAAATATCAATGTCTCGTAAATTTAAAGCAGAAAATATATTATGTTTAAATAACGATTTAATGATGGAAACATGGAATGATGTACTATCTTGTAATGAAACTGATACTGCATATGGACTATTTTGGAATATATTTTCAGCCCACTTTGATAGATGTATTCCAAAGACTAAACAAAATAAAAAAGAAAAGAAAACCACAAAATCCATGGATAACGAAGGGAATTTTTCGTTCAATTAAGAAACGAAATATATTGTACAAACGTAGTCTTCGTGATCCAAGTAACGAGAATAAATACGAATATAAATGTTATAGGAATAAATTAACAACAATAATTAGAATATCTCGTAAAATGTACTATGTAAAAGAATTTGAAAATGCTAACGGCAATATGGCATCTACCTGGAAAGTCATAAAAGAAACTCTTCGAAAGCAAAAGACCAAGTCAAAAATTAATATTAACAATGATGGTCAGACAATTGCAGACTCTAAAGATATAGCAGATTGTTTTAATAAGTATTTCGTAAATGTAGGCCCTATTCAGGCATCGAAAATAAATTCCAATGGTTCAGATTATTTACAATTCCTCTCAAATCCATGTGATAAATCGTTTTTCTTTATGCCTACAAACTGTGTTGAAATTTTGAATATTGTCAATTCATTGAAAATTAATTATTCTTGTAGTCATGATGAGATGAGTACGCACTTTTTAAAACAAATAGCAGGAAGTATTGTAACGCCTCTAGTACACAGTTGTAATTTATCACTTACAACGGGAGTATTTCCGGACTCTCTGAAAATAGCAAAAGTAATTCCAATATACAAAAAAGAAGACTCTTCTCTAGTTTCAAATTACCGACCTGTTTCTATCTTACCAAGTATTTCTAAAGTCTTAGAAAGACTGACTTATAATAGACTGTATGATTTTCTAACAAAAAATGAACTGTTGTATGAAAATCAATATGGTTTTAGAAAATTTCATTCAACGGAGTGTCAAATGCCTTAGCTGATCATAAGCATGTTATTGGAGTATTCATGGATCTGAGCAAGGCATTTGACACTCTTGACCATACAATACTTATACGTAAATTGGAATACTATGGATTGAGGGGTGTTGCTATACAATGGTTTAAAAATTATTTAACAAATAGAAAACAATATGTATGTTATGATTGGTGCGACACCCCCCCCCCCCCCCCTGTCAGGATATTGTCGGTAAAATTGCGCTGCCGTCGGGAAAAAGAGAAAAGGGGGAGGGAAAAAAAGAGAGGGAAAAAAAGAGAGGGGAAGGTAAAGAAAAGAAAAAAGAAAAGGAAAAGAAAAGAAATAAAGGAAAAGAAAGTAAAGAAAGGAAAAGAAAGGAAAGAAAAGAGAAGAAAGAAAGAGAAAAAAAGAAAAAGAGGGGGAGAGGAAAGAAAGGAAAAGAAAGAAAAGAAAGAAAAGGAAAAAAGAAGAAAAAAGATTGAAAGGGAAACAAAAGAAACGGGGGATGAAAGAGAGGAGAGAGAGGGGAGGTAAGAGTCTGAGAGAGGAGGAGTGGGAGTAAAAGAGAAAAGGGGGTTGTTGGGTGGAGTCGTCTCGTCGAGGGAGCAAGAAAGACACGGGTAAATATGTTGCTGTGTCGGGTCAGCTGTGTCGGTATTCTTGCTCGATCCTCATCAATGCATAAGTTTGAAGTCGGTGAGATGTATATTGTCGGTCGGCCGACAAGTTTTTTTTTCCCTACGAACTGCGACTTCTTATCCGCTGTGACGACTTCGAGAGTGACTACAACTACAATACTTGTATTTTCTCGAAGTTTCACTTTCCTATAATATCAGCTAAAGAAATCAGAGATTTAAAATTTTCGGGGAAACTAAATTCAAACAAGGTTTAAGAGTCAACAACGGTACGACGAATCATTTTCCTTTCTTTATATTGTGATGAAACGCCAAAAATTCCGCGCTTCGCGAGGAAGAGGAAACTTCATTTAGACGAATCGAGAACGGTACAACGAATCGTCTTCTTTCTCTAATAATTTAAGGAAACGTCAAAGCTTCCGCGCTTCGCGCGAGAGGGGGAAACTGAATTCAGACAAAATTAATAGGGCTTATTTAGAGTCGAAAACGATTCAACGAATCGTGTTCTTTCTCTAATAATTTAAGGAAACGTCAAAGCTTCCGCGCTTCGCGTGAGAGGGGGAAACTGAATTCAGACAAAATTAATAGGGTTTATTAAAAGTCTAAAACGGTACAACGAATCGTGTTCTTTCTCTAATAATATGAGGAAACGTAAAAGCTTTCGCGCTTCGCGCGAGAGGGGGGAAACTGAATTCAGATGAATAGGGCTTATTAAGAGTCGAAAACGATACGACGAATCGTCTTCTTTTTCTAATAATTTAATAAAACCAAA